ATAAAGGAACAACATGGAACAAATAGAAGACTAACACTATGACACCTTCCATCAAAAAAGAGCCTCTGGACCCCATACTATCTGATCATCCAAATCTACTATCTGTGTTGGTACAGTCTACAATTTATTTAAAAGTAGAGCAAAATAAGGCTTCACATCTTCCTTTTTTAATGGTCTTTCATCTCTAGCAGATAGTATTTGCAGTTAACTAGTGATTAAACATAGCACTTGCTTCATGAGTATTAAAATATCATGTCCATTGAGTTATATGCAACATTGTAATTGCAATCTAGTAAACACCAATTCTTAATTTTCATTTAAGCACCTTGTAGATGTCACTATCACGTTTATATGGTTAAACATTTCAGCTCTAAAATAAAAAACAGCTTACCTTTAAGGGTTGTAAATCATCATACCTAACAAAGCACCACTTTGCCACCCAGTGTAATTTTTATGTTTAAGGCCAATTTCTTATCACATTTTAATCTTTTTATATCATGATCTTCAGAAGTGCTACTTCTGCATATAGCTTTGGCTGCAAAACTTGCTAGCTCTAAGTAAACACTTATGATTGCTATGGGCACAGGCTAAAAAGTGTCTGGGGTTAGAAAAGACAGCAATTATGGGCGGAGAGGCATGCAGGTATTGAGGTGATAAAACCAATAAAGGAAAAAAGCAAAGGGAAAAAAATGAGATTTCAAGATATAAGGGAATGGGAGAGATCAGATAGGTGAAAGTCATAAATGGTGACAATAAATTAACGAGGCTATACGTTCAAGAACTCGAACACTAACAAATTAAAAAAAATTGAGTTGAGCATGGAAGGTACAATTATTATTATTTTATTATTTATATAGCGCCATCAGATGGTTTTTACTTAAACAATACTAAAGGGAAGGGAGATAAAGAGGAATTCAGTTGAAAGATAAGAAATAGATGGAATAATTAAGACATGTATTCTTGATTTTACATTCAGAAATTCTACCTGTGCTTATGGCTTTGGCTGCAAGACTTGCTCGTTCCGAGTCCTCAATAGACACTTATAATTACTACTTGGGACACAGGCTCTGCATATGGCTTTCGCCGCAAGACTTGCTATTTCTGATTCCTGAGACTGTTGCATTCATAAACTTCAGCCCGTTTCAAAATGTAACCCAACAACAGATTAATCGATCGGTGACTTTATTTTTTTTTTGTATAGGTGGTGTGTAACAGTATATAAATATATAAAATATATTAACAATGCACTAAAGAGAATTATTTTACAAAAAAGAAAGATACTTGTAAGTTACAGGTATGTAATCTATTGGGACTGTTTCTTTCTTACTGAAATCCTGATGGACGTCCAAAATTGTCTCACAGTAGAAAATAAGGGTGTACAAGATGGGAGGAAGGACCTTAAACTGGAAGATGTAGGGAGTGTGCAGTTTAATTCAGCAGTTATAGTGCCAGGAGAGTTCGGCACCCTAACAGGGTAAGTATTCAAACTGTTTCAGAATAGTTTGACATCTTATTTGGGGTCACCAGTCACTTTATACTTTCCAGACACTGAGGTTATTGAATTTATCTGCTGTCAGATTCTTCTTTTCAAGAGTGTGCAATTTGTGTTCTGCACCTAGCATCTGCAGAGCTTAAATATGTCTCCATTAGGCTTCAATCTCAGCCAACCTCCGTTTGAGAGTGTAATATGTCCATGCTCGATATCCAAGGCTTTTGTAGTTTTCACAAACAAGCCATAACTTTATGCAGTTCTCCTGTAACTAGTAAAGAAGCGGATATAATTACTGTGTTTCACAGTGGTTCCTAGAAAGGATGTATTTTCACAGCTCGCCATAAACAATGAATTTGGTAACCACTGTGAAAAAGATACAGGCCTAAATAATTGCAGGGCTGCACTTTGAGAGATATTTGGCTCTAATCACGCAGAAGGAGTCTAGTAATTTACAGCACAGCCAGAAAATGTCGAGAGTGGGGGAATCGTTTTTGAGAATGGCTGCTACCAAGCTTGAAAACATTCAGCAATTACATGTCAGTTATGCAACACTTCCTTTTTTAAAAATTTATTTTTTTAAGGTACTTTTAAAATTGCCATAAAGAGAAAAGCAATCAATTATTTCTGCAACGCTTCACCATTTTTACAATGTGTTCTATAATTGAAAAGTTTCTTTTATGTTTTACATTTTTTCTTTTCCTTCCTTCAATTTTATCAAAAGTATAAAATGAAAAATACAATACATGCAATGCAAGTATAACACAATTTTGGACTAGTTGTCAATTTCTTAAAACGGTAATCCCATCACCATCACTAATAGCAATGTATATCGATCTGGATTGGTCATCAGGACTCTTTACTCTTTTTTTTTTTTCTTTTTTGGGGGTGGGGGGAGCTACACCAGCAGTAGCATGGTCCTGACTCAGTGTCTCAGCTCAGTCATACAGGGTTAGTCGTTAAAGAGAGAATTTAAAGTGAATTTCAAATTTAAGGTCAGAGTAGCCAAATTGGACAAAAACTCTAAGTCAGCTAGTATCGAGTTTGGCTACTCTGATCTTAAACTTGAATTCTCAATTTAGTCAATAACCCTGACAAGTCTATGCAGGTTCCTACAGTCTTATCATAGGGAAGTTAGGTTGTGCTAGTCTGTGTGCTAATAGACAAAGTGTGTTCGGGTGACAGGAATATGTAGGTCAGGAGCTCCCATGTTTATTCAACAAACTGATTGTCACAACAACACATTCATGGGCAAAGTTAGCATGAAAAGCATAGCTGATCCTGGGCGGGTGCACGGGGTGCACAGCGCCCAGGCGCTCTGAGTAGAGGTGATCTGCGGCGTTAGGCTCCACCCCTCTTTCTAAGTTTTACCCTTTGTTTTAAGCTCCATCTCCTGCCTGAAGGCCGTCAGAGCTCCTGGAAGGCTGGCTGGCTGGGCTGGAAGGTGAGCACACACAGGGGAGGGGATGGGCTACAAAAGGGCACAGGAGGGGAAGGGATACAGGCGGGGAAGGGAGGGAAGATGGCAAAGGAGTAAGGGTACAGTAGGGGGAGTGGGCTAAAATGGCACAGGAGGGAAGGGGGGCTACATAAGGGCACAGGCAGGGCCGGCGCTTCCTATAAGGCGAACTAGGCAGCCGCCTAGGGGGTGGGTGAGGAGAACATGGGAGGGGGGGTGGTGGAGAGACCACTAGGGGAGGGGGGTGAGGAGAGCAGAGCACTGGGGGGGGTGGTGGAGAGTCCCTAAGGGGGGGGGGGGGAGAGCAAAGACCATTAAGGGAGAGAGGGTGGTGGTGGAGAGACCACTAGGGGAGGGGTGGGGGTGAGGAGAGACCTCTGAACATCCTGACTGATAGGAAGTGCACACTCAGAAACTGTACCTGTACCACGGATCAGAGAGGAGCTTCACGCTACACAGGGAAGGGGAGGTTAGGAGA